TATTCTTAGTGGCAAAAAACAATTCTTCACAAATGGATCCATTCCAACCCACCTTCACTAACCCTTTTCCTGTGTAAGTTGATGTTTGTATTTCAAATGGATTGTATGGAAACAACTCCATGGAAGGAAACAGGTTCAGAACATTTTTGAAGTTTGTGAGCCATTTTTTTTATAATTTGCCAACATTAACTAAGCAAAAGCTTCCTGGAACACTATGAAAACACTTTTCTAAGACCCCCTAATTCATCTTTCTCCATTGAGATCCTTTAAGTGTCCCCTTAACTTTTCGGACCCCAAGCTGCTGCCGCATAGCAATTTTTTGTTTTTGTCTTATGTAAATGTATCCCATTTATCCCATTGCTATCCTATTGTAACTTCTTTTTCCTGGTGCCTTCATGGCAGCATACCATTGACCTAGCTCTCTGACGCCACCTAGTGTTTGAAGTTGCCATGCCATTTTCCAGTGTTTATTTCAAGACATCGCCAAGACAATGGAATATTGTATAATCTGTCTGTAGTCTGAATGAAGAAACAGAAAACATAAAACTTCTATTACTGTACAAAATGTTTACACAAAGCAGCACACTGGAATCACTTGGAATAAAAGGGTGAATTATACTTTTGTTTCCAGTATGTAATATCTCTGTTTGTTGTCCATGGATTGTGCATGTACTTTCATATGTTGAATATGCAGCGTTCATCTCCGCGATTATCGTACGATAATCGCGGGTGATCCCGCGATCGTACAATAATCGGCAGGTGTATGGGCAGCGTGCGACCGCTTCTACTGTACGGTCGTACGACTTTCCTCTTACGAGCACGCTTGAACAGCCGTTGAAAATCGTAAGATTTTCAGCGGGTTGGTGGGGTGGTCGGAAGACGAATGCCGCAGGGGCCAGTGTGCGCAAGCGCACACTGCCCGCTCAGCACTGCAATCATCAGAAGCCCTCCCCTCAGCGGGGAGGGCTTGCGATGATCGCAAGTACGATCTGCCTGTCCAAGATGGGCAGATCGTACGGAATTTTAAACACCTTACAACCATCGCACAACAGAAGTCGTGCGATGGTTGTGGTGTATGGGCAGCTTTACTGGTACATACACTAAACAAAAGCCTTTTTTTTTATGATGGGTGGGTCATCAAGAGCTGTACTGGAACTGAACAAATTTATACTTTTACAAATAGAATAATGCTTTAGTTTATGGACTGGTTAAATCAATCCACTTTGCCTATAAGCCAACAATGACATTAAATATACACTCACTAGTTACTTTATTAGGTACACCTGTTGAACTGCTTGTTAATGCAAATATCTAATGAGCCAATCACATGGCAGCAGCTCAATGTATTTAGGCATCTAGACGTGGTGAAGACAATCTGCTGAAGTTCAAACCAAGCATCAGAATGGGGAAGAAAGGTGATTTCAAGTGACTTTGAACGTGGCATGGTTGTTGGTGCCAGATGGGTTGGTCTGAGTATTTCAGAAACTGCTGATCTACTGGGATTTGCACACACAACCATCTCTAGGGTTTACAGAGAATGGTCCGAAAAAGATATCCAGTGAGTGGCAGTTTTGTGGGCAAAAATGCCTCGCAATTGCCAGAGGTCAGAGGAGAATGGCCAGACTGGTTCAAGCTTATAGAAAGGCAACAGTAACCCAAATAGGTACTCATAATAACCGAGGTATGAAGAAGAGCATCTCTGAATGCACAACACTTCAAACCCTGAAGCAGATAGTCTACAGCAGCAAAAGATCACACCAGGTGCCACTCCTGTCAGCTAAGAACAGGAAACGGAGGCTACAATTTGCACAGGCTCCCCAAAATTGGACAACAGAAGACTGGAAGAACATTGCCTGGTCTAAAGGTGCCCATACACCTGCCGATTATCGTACGATAATCGCGGGAAGTCACGCGATCGTACGATAATCGGCAGGTGTATGGAAGGCGTGCGACCGTTTCTACTGTACGGTCGCACGTCTTTTGTCTCCCGCGCTGGCTTGAAAACCCGCCGAGAATCGCACGATTGTCGGTGGGTTAGTGCCGTTCTCGGGAGAAAAATGCCGAACGGGCCGGTGTGCGCAAGCTCACACTGCCCGTGCGGCATTGGAGTCATCGGAAGCCCGACCCTCAGCGGGGCGGGCTTTCGATGATCGCAAGTACGATCTGCCTGTCCAAGATGGGCAGATCGTACAAGCTTTTAATTAGGTTACAAACATCGCAAGACAAAAGTCTAGCGATGGTTGTAAAGTGTATGGCCAGCTTAAGTCTTGATTTCTGCTGCGACATTCAGATGGTCGTTCAGAATTTGGTGTAAGCAACATAAAAGCATGGAGCCATACTGCCTTGTATCAATGGTTCAGGCTGGTGATTTTGGTGTGGGGGATATTGTCTTGCAACACTTTAGGCCCCTTAATACCAACTTAGCATCCTTTAAATGCCACAGCCTACCTGAGTATTGTTGCCGACCATGTCCATCCCTTTATGACCACAGTGTACCCATCTTCTGATGGCTGCTTCAAGCAGGATAACACTCCATGTCACAAAGCTCACATCTCAAACTGGTTTCTTGAACATGATAATGAGTTCACTGTACTCCAATGGCCTCTAAAGTCACCAGACCTCAATCCAATAGAGCACCTTTGGGATGTGTTGGAACGGGAGATTCACATCATGGACATGCAGCTGACAAATCTACAGCAACTGTGGTTGGCTGATGCCAGCAATGACCACTGATCTGAGACAAGATCATAGCACTCTTACCCAGCAACTCTAGCTACTTCTTAGTCACGTTCTGAATTCAGAATTAAAGCAACCTTGTTGCTTTGCCCTGCATTGACAAAATGCGGGTTCCTGTTAAAAGGCCCGTTTATATATTTAAGTGATTAAACTTTAAGAAAAAGTAAAAAAAAAAAGTACCTGCACCATTTATTCTTATGGCCAGTTCACACCATATGCAGTTGTGATGCAGTCTGTTTATTTTAACTGCTGCAGTCAAAATACATCACGATGCTTTCCTATGGGCTTTCTTGTGCCTAATTCACACCATTGCAGTCGGTTCAGATGCAGTCAGAAAAAGTACTGCGTGTCCTACTTTACCTGCATCTAACTGCACTAAATGCATCAAAACGCAGTGCAAATGCATTAAAACGCAACGGAACACATAAAAAAAAAAACAGAATTGATTGTGGCATCATCCAGGGGGAAAAAATGCATCACAACTGATCTCAATGCAACTGCGCAGACGCATGCAGTTTCTGGTGTGAACTAACCCTAAAGCCCTGTGTGCATATCTGTGCATTGTAGTGCACTATAACACAGTTGCATAGTGAGCTGGTTTCTATAGCACACTGAGGCAGGAGACTGCTCCATAGAACACTATGTGACTCTACTGTGCAGGCAAAGCCCGGTCACTAAAGATCTGTTGGTGAGAAATAAACAAACACTAGAGGGCGGTACGCTTAATTTTTGTTGTGATTGTGCTTATATTATTATTATACAGGATTTATATAGCGCCAATAGTTTGCACAGCGCTTTACAATATAAGGAAGACATTGCAGTCACAATACAACTTAAGACAAGATGGTAAGGAGGGCCCTGCCCGTTAAGGCTTACAATCTAAAATGCTGGTAAATGTAAACTTGATGAAATGTGTTTACATGAGGATGTGCGTGCTCGCGGGGAAGGGGGACATTAAAAACATTTTTTAAATTATTTTTACATTTAATAGTATTTAAAAAATAAATGTATTAAACTTTACTTACAAGCCCCCCATGTGATAGCAGATTAGTGGTGACAGGTACTCTTTAGGGTGACACTGCAATGGTACTGAAGTCAACAGGTTGAAACTGCAAGTCAACAGGCCCTCCACTGACTTGCGATTTCCTTCCGATTGTGGTGTGAATGGGCCCTAAAAGCGGAACACCCTCAAACAGTTTTTTGGGGTACAGCACAAGTCATAGGTTACTTCTAATGATGATTATCTGATGCTGGGATGGCTGCTTGTTACAGTACAAATCCTGTCTTCATTGATGGCGGATATTACTCAGTGCTCTTCTTCTGGCGCTCATAGTGCTGGGATCATGTGGTGTAGGCGCTCACTCCTCTCCCCTCATCCATTCACAAAAAGCACAGTTTCCTTTTGAGGTGTTCTGTAATCAGATGAGGGGGAAGGAGGGAGAGAACATTATCTGCTCATTGTATGGCCACTGTCACATAGCTGGCTGGCTCTACCGCATCTCTAAAAAGTGATCCACAGAGGAACGCTTTTCAGGGAGAGTGGCTAATCGGCGGTTTGCAAGTATTCAGAAGGTAATTTTGCCACCTCCTGAATAACTTTTTTTTTCCATCCAAAGGGGGATTTTACATAGCCAAATGCATAGCTGCACAGTCCCATCAAATGCAATGGGTGAGTTTGACAGGCGGTGCCATTCGTCATACTGAGTTAAAATTACCACAACACATGGTTCTGTGTGGCCATTTTATAGATAGGTATTCCAGGGGTGGGAAAAACGCCTGAAGCCGGCCATGTGATGAAGGCCCATGTGCACCACGGCTCTCAGCCGAAGACCACTGTCAGTAATGTCTACCATCAATAAAGATTGGATTTGTATAGTAACCAGCAGCCATCTCATCATTAGAAGTAGCATATGACTTGTGTTGTCACCCCCAAATTTTTTTTTCCTGCAGTTCAGCTTTAAAGTGCTTTCAAAAAGTTGAAAAAGAACAATTTCACGGCAATTGCCATTCACCAGAAGTAGAGGTAAGTGAGAGAAAACAGCTATGTACGAAGTAGCACCGTCTACGATTGAAAAGGCCGCGCCGCTCTGTGCCAAGCTGCTCATTCGATCAGTTCTGCCTTCGGCTACACCTGTCTGACTAGGCTGCCGCTAGGATCTGCGTTCGTCTATCCGTACTGTCGCCTGGCAGCTGCCCCGGAAGTTGTCGCCGGGGCCGGTTCAGCTCCGGTAAAGTCTCCACCGGACAGAGTCGGCTGGCGGGAGAGTGGCCCGGGGTGGATGAGGCTCCAGGCGGGGGAGCCGCGGCAGGTGAGAGCTATGGATACAGGGTATCCCTATCCCTGGCCGGAGCTAGAGGGCCCATACATAGCGGGTGACAGGCTCAGTGTGACCCTCCCCTGTCTGTCATCGCTATGTGTGTGTGAGGGGAGCCGCAGAGCTGGGGTGACATCCGCATCGCTCGCCGTATCTCCAGCCTGCTCTCCGGGATCATGGTTTGGCTGGAAGTAGCAGCATGCTATCCTCTGATATTCCCCGGCAGAGGGGACAGCACAGAGCTGTGTGACATGGTGGCCTGGGACTCAGGATGGAGAGCTCCTGTATCCTGTCCTCAGATGACTCTTCCCAGCACTGTGTCTACACACACACACACACACACACACACGTGACCAGGCTGCATGTATAGCAGGGATGCTCTGCAATGGCAGCCTGTGGGAAGGAGGTACACCATGTATTTCAGTTCTAGGTGGATCATGGTGGGGTGAATGTTTGTGTATATAGGGGCGTCCTGAGCTGAGCTTCCCAGGCTGGGGATCCGGGCTCCACTCCCAAGCTGCTTCATAGTCTCACTCTTCCTGCTGCATTTTACATAATAAAAGCAAATGAGCAAGGCTGTAACAATCAAATCACTGGAGAGGCTAAAAGGTAAACTATGAATTAAAGAAGTACTCTGGGCACATACATTTGAAGTGGGGCTACTCCTCTACTGCAAGGCTTAAGTGCTTGTTTTAGGGCTGATATAAAGCAGAATTTCTTACCTGATCCAGGCTTCCTTCTGGCTGCTAGAGTGGTCCCTGCAGCCTCTTCTCCCCTGGGCTCCAGCCGTCTAAGGATGGGCTCGGGCGTGTTCGCAGCTCCACGTGCCGAGCCCGCCAGGAAGCTGACCGCGAGCAGCGCCAATCACAGATAGTGAGACATTTTCCCGGTCCGCAGCTGCAGAGATCGGGAAATGTCTCCGTGCCTGTGAGTGGTGCTGCTCGCTGTCGGCTTCCTGGCGGGCTCGTCATGTGGAGCTGCGAACACGCCCGAGCCCATCCTTACTAAGGATCACTAAGGTCATCACATCCTATGCAGGTCTGCTCACTTGCATTAGATGTGAGGATGCCATGGGACCTTCCATAGCTGGAGGGGAAGGGAGGTAAACATCAGGTAAGTTAACCAACTTTATTTGAATCCCCTAGGCACTTCAAGCACCCCTTAACGAGTGCCCCACTGCAAGGGTCAGTTTTTTTTTATTTGCCCAGAGTTCTTCTTTAAGGTAAATTCTATTTAGACTTTTTAAAGGTTTATTTTTTTTAATTTTTCATTGGCTGTTGTAGTTTGTTTCTGTTTACATAGACTAAATAAAATAAAAAAAAAAGATTAGCTGAACTCCAGGAATTACCCAAAAACTACCTGCAGTGCAAGTGTTAACTGCTGGTTAAGTCTGGGGTTAGAGGAATAAGTAGTGATACTTCTGTATTGCTCGGTGCTGCACTCACGTCTTTTTCCTGATGTTGTGGGTGGTCCCTTATCATCTTTATGTACAATGCAGGGCTGTAGCCGCTGCATGTGATGTGATGACATTCGCGTGTGACTGTTGGCCAGAGCATCTTAGAAAAGTTCAAAGAGCAGTCCAGTAATGTGGTGATGTTGATTGGTGTGCTGCTTCCTGTTTGTATAGACCAGGGTGTCCGACATGTGTGACAGAAGAACAGGAAAAAGAGAGGAAGCGCCACTACCATGCACATGTGAAGGTGTGGACCAATGGGTAGGCCCTATTGGAGTGATGTTGTTGCTGATTGGCATGAATTGCCGGTCCGGTGCAAGAGCGGTGTGTCAGTGGTGGAGGCAGTGTTCAGGTGCTCAGGTGGGGAAGATGTTGTGTAGCGAGGTGAACAGAAACACGCCGCTCACGGGCATGGAGCCAGCCCGGCGTGTCAGTACTGTAGGAGGCAACGCGTTTCGAAGACATTTTTTTACTCAAGCCGAGTTGCAGGCTACAACCTTTGCCGATGACATCACGTCACCATTAACCTAACGGTGAGTTTCTATACACTACACATGTGATCGATTTATTCCGGAATTTTCACCTTTCCACCGTTTTCCACTCCTCCTTTTGGTTCCCAACTTCAAACCCCAGGAGGTGCAACACTCCTTTTGGCTCAGCATCACTCCAATAGGGCCTACCCATGGACCCACACCTTCACACGTGCATGGTAGTGGCGCTTCCTCCATCTCTTTTTTTTCCTGTTCTTCTGTACGAGAAGTGGCTTAAGGGGACCAGTTGCCCAGATGGTGGGAGCCTGTTGGAGCGAGGAATAGGGTTAGCGTTAGGCTAGGTTCGCATTTATCTGTTTCTGTTTTTTCATGTGGGTTTTACTGTGAGTTCTAGCACTTTTACACATTGATGCGCTATCTACTGTACGTTTTTTAATGTGTCGTGCATTTTGTTGTTTGCCCAGTGAGGATTGATTTTCTGCAATGACATAATTGTTGTGGAGTTCATGGATTTCTGTCTTGTGTTGAGGAATCTGATTACATGTGCACTTTTGTGTGTTGCTATTGACTTCTATTGGCCTCACAATGCATGAAAATGCACAGAGAAGTGGACACACCATATTTTCCCAAACGCAACACAATGGGCTTATTGGTTTAAATATGTTCCTATTCTCTACCCCTAGATGTAACAAGCAATTAACCCCTGCAGTGCAGGGGTCCCCACTGCTAGGGTAGTTGTGTATTTCCCAGAGTTCACCTTTTAATAGAGAGTGCACCCTGGTCACCGGTGTCAGAAAGCATTTTAGGTATTCTAAATAGAGCACTGTAGAAGCTGTTTGCTTTTGGACTCTCTCTTTCTCTGTCGCGCTCTCTAAGGCCTGGTTCACACCTGGGCATTTTGTAGCGCGTTCAAACGCTCTGCAAAACGCTCAAACACTGAAATCCCATTGTTTCCTATGGGTACGGTTCACACCTGGGCGTATTTCAGCCCGTCTGAACGCGCTACAAAACGGCCTACGCCCCAAAAAAGTACAGGAGCTTCTTTGGGGCGTTCCGGTAAAAAGGCACGACATGAAACACGCGACAAACGTGCATATTCGATACGCCTAGGTGTGAACCGAGCCTAAAAAGCTCGCCATACATTGTTATATTTTTTTTTCATTCAGCTCACAAAAATATAAGATTCCCCTATCCACCCTAGACTGTGTGGATGGAAGAATCTGCCGCTGTGTTCTTTGTATTCTGACAGCGACGGGCTTGCCATTGTCAGAATACTCAAACACTCTCATTGACTTCGGTGCTTCCACGGTACCTACAACTACAGCGTAGAGGTCAGCGAGGGCTTGTTTTAAAGCTAATTTACTGTTCGTTTGAGCATATAGTATTCAAAATACTAGCATATCCATAGCATGTCCACAGGTTATAGTGGAACTAGACCCATCAGTTTAACTGTCTCCCCCCAAAGCAGTTACTTTTAAAGCCCCATTCACACTGAGCAATTTTTGCAGCGATATCGCTCATATTTCCACACAATATCGCTCTATATAGCTTCTCCAATCCATTTCAATGGAGCTGTTCACATCTCGTCGCTCAATATCGCTTGTAGCTCGTCGCTGCAGCTTGTCGCTCCAGCATGACCCTTTTTTCGAGCGATTTCGCTCCTGATTGCATACAGCCCAATAGGAAAAAGTCGCGCGACAAGTCGCTCAATATCGCTCATATAAAATTGCGCAGAAAATCGCACGATTTTCATGTCGCTCAGTGTGAATGGGGCCTTAAGCATCTCAACTGTGAAGGTTGTGAGCTTTAGTTCAACCGAACCAAACTTTGAAGCCCTCCAATGGCTGGTGTCCTAGCTGATCATATGTGCAGAACCATGGCAACTGCAATCCAAATAGAGGCTAAGATGGCGTCTTCCTTAGTTGTAATGGATAGGAGGTAGTAGTTCTGCTTTAACCCCATCGTGACTGACGATGTACAGTGTACGTCGCCAGCATCGGGGCTGTTTAAACAGACTCCCGGCGACTTTTGCCGCCGGGAGTCTGTTTAAACTTGTAGAGCCGACTGTCGGCTTTACAACAGAAGTGATCCTGGCGACTTACCTGTCGCCAGATCGCTTCTGCGTCCCGAAGAAGGGGCCGCCCCCCCCAATTTTCAACTACCACCATTTTATTCTATAGGGTCTTGGCATTCAGAAAATATATAATGTTGGGGGGTTTTACGTCATTTTCAGGCCTAAAATGTGGAATATAACATGGGTGCAAAAAATTAAAAAAGGGCCTCAGTCATGAAGGGGTTAACCTTAAATCACTACTGGTTGCAGGAGGTTATCCTACAATCTACTTTTCTCCCCTTGTAATAAGCAGCAGGCACATTATCTGCCCTACTTGTCAAGTTATAAATGTGATCTTTCAATCTTATTAAATCCAATAGCATTTGTAAACTACGGTACTGTCAGATACAGGGAACATCTATCTTACTGAATGTGTTGATGTTGAAGGATGTGCAGTGTTGCATTTAAAGACAAATATTTATGTAGATATTTTTTTAAATGTTTTTATTTGATTAAGGGCTTATTCACACCGGAAGTGGTGCGTTTCAGAGCGGTAGCTGCTGGAACGCACTGCGATCTTCCCCCTGCGTGCTAATGCTCTGGAACGCACCGCTTTCAGTGTGAACAAGGCCTCACTTAAATTTGTTTTACAAATTAGGGGGAAACAGGCAAATTAGAATTTAAACCAGGCAGATGGTGTTAAAGGAAACATGGTCTGCCATGAGAGAAATGCATGGTCTGCCATGAGAGAAATGCATGGTCTGCCATGAGAGAAATGCATGGACTGCCAGCTAGTTGCCAGGCTGATATGCTGACCCAGTGACTTCATTACGTTGTAAAGGGCAATTAAAAGTTATGAACTCCACTGGCTACATACTTGCTCTGGGTCAGTGATTTAAGAGATATAATATTCTCTCTGACATCTCTCTGTTGGAATAAACTTGATTTTATTTGCCTTTATTATTCTTCCTGTTTCAGAGAACCCAGGCTAATATGGAAATTGAGGACTACAATGGCCGCTCTTATATGTCTGGTAGGTAAAAACGTATTTCAGTTTAATATGTCCTGATACATTTTCAGTAATAAAACTTTGCTAATTAGGTATGACTGCCTACACAGAGACAGACAGACAGACAGACAGACAGACAGACAGACAGACAGACAGACAGACAGACAGACAGACAGACAGACAGACAGACAGACAGACAGACAGACAATCATATTTCAGGCAAATTAAGAAGTACAGAATCCCTTAGGGGTGTATTCATTTAGTGTGCTGCAGTGCAACACTCCATGCATTTTACACATGTTGTCGCATCACATTGGTTTGATTTAACCTTTAGGACTACTGCTTGCTGTTTAAAGGAGAACTATGGGGTCAGTGTCTTTCCCCATAGTTCTCCTTAGGGTAACGGGAGGACACAAACTAGCGTCCTCCCGTTACCCTAAGCTCAGTATACTGCGAGCTACAGCTTGCGGTATACTGAGACGCCGGAGCGGATCCCGACTTAGATGATGGGATCCGCCCAGCTGTGTGAGTGACAGCTGGTTCTGCCTATCTAGAGGCAGAGCCAGCTGTACCCGCCCCCTCCCCCGTCCGTTCCGCCAGTCAGCGCTGGCAGATCGGAGAGGGGAGAGGGGAATCCAGCCCCTCCCCCTGTCACGGCAGAGAGCCGTGACAGGATCGAGAGGTGAGCAAACCTGGTATGTGTTCGCTCACCTCCCGATCAACAGTCTCATTGTCACAGGTCGGCTAGAACTATGAGGTGAGTGGAAATCACTCATCTCATAGTTCTCCTTTAATGATCGCTGTTCACATGTGGGAGTTTCTCTTGTCTACCTGTCAACCTACACTCCCAGAAATCCCCTAAGCTGATAACCTCAAATGATCTCTGCCTGTGCTGCACTCTTATCAGTATGGTTTCTGGGTATCCTTGTAAACTACAGAACATCTACCCAATATGTTATGGAGGTGAAAGGAAGGTGGTCTGTAGTCCTAACACACTTCCTGTCCAAGGGCTCCTTCATAGATACAGCACAGTGAATGTTATTCCCTGGGAACATCTCCCCTGTATGTCATGGTGGAGAAGGGGAGGGGTTCTGCAGTCCTAACCCACTTCCTGTCCAAGGGTGGTAACGCTGCTCCTTAATAGATACAGTACAGTGAATATTAATACTCTTGGAACATCTCCCCAATATGTTATGAAGGGGAGGGGTTCTGCAATCCTAACACACTTCCTGTCCAAGGTTGACATTACTGCTTCTTCATAGATACAATAGACTGAATATTAATTACTCTAGGAAAGGAATTGTGTTACTGGCAGAATCAGAAGGTGAAAATAAAAAACAAAGCCTAAAATTGAAAGCTAATGTAGCCACCACATCTAATAAATGGTAAACTGCAACATGTTAAATTTTTCTTCTTGGGTTTAGGTACACTTCCATTTTTATTTAGGGTACTAGGTGTTGAGCCTGGTAAGCTGCAATATATGGCATTGCTTTTCCTGAGTTTAGGAACACATCAAGGTTTGTTCAGGGTTCCTGATGTTGAGCCAGCTGCTACTTTTCCCATTACCTGTCTTAACACCGGGTTTTTCTTAAAACTGCAGCTGGAGATTCATCTCTGGACAAGGATTTCTCAGAAGCATTGATTGGACCCACTGTGAGCACACCAAACAGCCGACACTCCTCCCCAAGACGTTCACTAAGTGGTAAGCGTACTATTGTACCAGGAAATTGGTGTTTTAGCTTTGGGTCAAGGTGGAAAACATCTTGCTGTTTAAATGTCATCATCCCGGCCAGTCTTCTGGATTCTGAAAGTGGCATTAAACCAGGAAATTAAAGGATATCCTTCAGGTAACAGCCTCATGCCATGTTATTATATTAACCACTTGCTGTCCGGAGAATTTTCTTACTATTTGCACACACATGATAAACTATAAATTTTTGGCTAGAAAAAAGATTCAAACCCCTAAACAATGATGCATGTTCTGAAAGCAGAGGCCATGTAGAATAAAAAAAAATGCTAATTGCAGTTTTTTATGTTGCACGGTATTTGCGGAAATGTTTATCAAAGCAGTGTTTTTAGGATAAAATAAACTAAATTAAAATTTAGTGCACAGAAACATAATATAATACCCATTTTTTTGGCAAAATGTTAAAAGATGGGGTCACGTAGGGTGAATAGATCCAATCGATAATACAAAATCACCTGCCCTCCATACAGCGTACAGACCTTGAGTAAGAGGTTGGTGCTTGAAGTGACAACACGGAGGGCGCCGTGTCAGATACAGTCCATAATAGAAGTCACCAGCACTCGATGTTATGTGCAAGAAGTAAAGCACTTTTTATTCAGTCGTCACATGCATCAAACAGCCAACGTTTCGGGGCCACGCAGGGTCCCGTCTTCTGGGCGACATAGTGACAGAAGAAGTGTCACTATGTCGCCCAGAAGAAGGGACCCTGCGTGGCCCCGAAACGTTGGCTGTTTGACGCATGTGATGATTGAATAAAAAGTGCTTTACTTCTTGCACATAACATTGAGTGCTGGTGACTTCTATTATTAGGGTAAATAGATCCATTCATAGCAAATCCATAGCATTTGCTTTGAATGATGGGGCTATAAATGCTCCAATGCCTAGCCGGATACTTACGGTATCAGGAAGCCAGGCAGCGAGTCATGACACGCTGCCTGGCTTCCTGATTGGCCGGGAAGCTGGCTTCATGCTCCCCCGTCACCTCATGACAAGGTAGCATATAGCCGGGTTCCCAGCCAATCGGGAAGCCGGGCGCTGCGTCATTACACAGCGTCTGGCTTCCTGAGTGGTCAGAAAGCCGGCTCCTTGCTTTCTCGTCACCTAGTGACAAGAAGCATGGGGACGGCTTCCCTGCTAATCAGGAAGCCAGGTGGCGAGTCATTACACGCCACCTGGCTCCCTTAATGGGACTTTCGGTATTGGCGAGTACCCCCCAAAAAAATATCGTTACTCGATACCCAAATACCCGTATGGGTGCATCCCTAATGAGAATTGTTGACCGCAATTTTCATTATCGATTATCATTGATTAAATCGATTAGTTGTTGCAGCCCTACATACGAGCAGGTGAGTGTTCTCTCTTAATGATCCAGTTGCTGCACAGTTGCCACCAGTGAAAGGATCGCTCATGTTACATGGAGCTAATTCAGCCTCTCCATAAAGATAAAGTGTGTGTGTAATCGGGGGGGGAGGGGGGGGGGATGCAGTTTAAGGAGATTTATGATGCTAGGACTTAAAGTGACACTAAACTGAAGAGTTAAATCCTAAAAATACTTTCAAGTACTTTAACTATTAATACAAATGTATCTTATTTGTTTATCACTCAGCTGCAGATCCTCAAATCAGTGTTCATGCTGACACTGTCCTTCCTTCTGGAGGGTGGCTACTTTTGCTCCCAATGGTCCCTGTGTTTTGTAAAGTAGCCACCGCTCCAAGCTCGCTCCCGTGATGGACTACCATCTCAATACAAATTAATAACTAAACGTGAGATTGTAGTCCATCACGGCAGTGAGCTTGGAGAGATGGCTACTTTACAACACACACAGGGACCATGGGGAACAAAAGTAGTCACCTCTCCAGAAGTAAGGACAATGTTAGCACCAATTCAGAGATGATTTGAGGCTCTACAGCCAAGGGATACATGAATGAGCTACATTTTTTTAAATAGTTAAGGTACTTGAATGCATTTTTAAGATTTAATTCCTGAATTTAGTGTCACTTCAGGTTGTTAAGAAATGGTATAAAAGAATATGGCAGTAGAAAAGTTTAAACATTTGTATCTTTGTTCAAAAGCCCTTGGTATTTGCTTTACTGTTTGCACCTACCGAGTTGCAATTTTCCATTTCATCTGCTTGCTGTAGATGAAACTGTAATATTGGACAGTTTATAAGGAGAAAGCAAGGATGGGTGAGAGCAGAGCCAGAAATTACAGCAGGAAAGTCTCATCTCTGAGGTCCCCTACAGATAACCAGTGGGAGATTCTGGCCACAAATTCCATCTATTGCTGAAATAGCATGTTTGTACAAATTGTCCCTATAAGCAATATTGTTTAGAGAGTAAAATATATCTGCAATGATTTTGATCTGCTCTTATGTTTGGAGAAATGTATGTGATTGTTTGAAGCACAACTTAGTCCATGTTAAAGTGACTAATATATGTGTTGTGTATGTTTATTACAGAACACGTGATACATTTTTTTTTTTCTTGTAATTTGCAGATTTGTTTTTTTTCCTCGTTTCACTTATTTCTGCATACATAATCTTCAGCTACTTCTTATCTCTGTGTGTGCACTACGATTTATTGGTTTGTCTATAAACCTACTGTATATAATTTGTGGCTAAAATCAAAGCATTTTTAAATACCAAAACGTTACCCAATTAATTTTTTTTTAAAAAGTTGGTTTTGTTTTCTTTTCCCATTTAAAATGATGTGATGTTCTGATTGATTTTTTTCCCTTTAGCAAATTCCATCAAAGTGGAAATGTATAGTGATGAAGAATCTGGTCATCTTCTAAGTCATGAAGACCGATTGAGTGAGAAGGAAGACGGAGTTATGCCCGAAGACTCGCTGGTCGAGCCTTTGTATTGTGATGGTCCAGGACAAGACCCTCATTCGCCAGGAGGCATTCGCCTCCCCAATGGCAAGCTGAAGTGTGACATATGTGGCATGGTCTGCATTGGTCCTAATGTACTGATGGTGCACAAGAGAAGTCATACAGGTAAGTCAAAGAACACAGAAAGGTACAGCAGCTGGAGGCTTTCCATAGATAAGCTTTACCAGATCTGTACTCGTAGGTATGAGATGAGTTCCATTTCAACCAGCAATATTCAATTTGGGTTTATAAAGTTTGTAAGCAAGTTAAGGTTGTTCATGTGCCCTTACATGGCTTATAAAGAAAAGGACAAACAAGTTTTATTTTCCTGATGAGATCACTGCATACCTTTTCCCTTCTCATGGAGTTTACTGTGACCCATCTACATTTTCAGCATTCTCTCGAGTTCAGTTACCCTTAAACACAAGTCCACTTGATCTATATAATTTCCCCCTAAACATATCATCATGACAGGCTTTTTATTATTTGGTTGCTGCCTTAACCCATGATTCACACAGAGTTTTTTAAGCTGGGTGCTTAACAGCAGGGCTGTCCCTGTAATGAGGCAGTAGCCTCAGGCTGCATCTCATTGGATCTCTTGGCAACCCATGACACTCTGGCCGGCGTCCCACCCAGCTCACTGACGTCACTGGTTGCCAGCAGCGAAGCAGGATGCTCTGGCTGGCGTCCTGGCCAGCTCCTAGCAACCAGTGACGTCCGTGAGCTGGGCGGGATGGCAGACAGAAGTAGCATGCACCGATTTTTTTCACCCCCAGCCCCACCCCTTGTAATGTGCACTCTTGCAAATGCCACCACCCCTTTAAATTTGCTATTCCACTGACAAAACAAACACACGCCTCAGGCAGCAAAAAGTGTAGGGACGGCCCTGCTTAAAAGTGTTTAACAACGATTGACAATCATGATTTATTTCATAAATGTACCGTACATATAAAGGTTTATGTCATGTACATAAGTTGTGTGAAGTTTTTTTTTGGTGTAGTCAGGTCAGTGGCTGAACCCTATTAGAATGCAGTGTAAAGGTGAATATCTTTTATTTATATTGCATAACATGCATGCTCTACATATATTTATATATTTACATAATTTAGGGGCTGATTCATAAAGTGTTTACCAGGCATAACTGCCACTAGAAATTCCTATGTTCTTTGGCTCCATCTAGTGACAGGTATGCCCTGTGAACCTCATTCGCCCAGCTGTACGCTGAGTGAACACATTATAAATCAGCCCCTTAGAGTACATGTATAGCAATTTTTTTAACTAAGTAAGGATTGGAGCTGTTTGAGGTTTTTTTTTTGCTGTCTGTGTCCTGTTGGAGAGATTTCCCTTCATCCCTTCTGTCCCAAAGACACAACAGGAAGTGAGTAAATCATTACAAAGGGAGGGATGTTCCTCTCTTAGATAGTTATGACCAGAAAATGTGTCCTTGTGGGAAGATTTACCTTCACCTAATATTCTGTTGACTACTGTATAAATTTTGTATTTGCTGCTGTTTTCTGTCTTGGTGGCCGGTGTCATCAGGACGCGGTTGAATCTCCCCGGCAGGGACAAAGACTACAATAAAAACCAGGCAGAGGTGAATGTACATACACTTTAAATACTCCATGAATGCTGTGTTTGTTTGTGATAAAGCTAAAAGTATACAGATGTCACCGATCTTAGAAATTTGCAGCTGTAGATAATTCGGATAGATAAAATTGGATGGCATCTACTCTAAAAATCCTATGTTGACAGAAAGAGACATTTGCATTACCTTAAATAAGTTAGGGCAGGCATGTGAAACTGGTGTTTTGGGGGCCACGTACAGCCCATCAGCTGGTATAGAAACGTGAATTTAATGAATCTCCAGCTATCCTCCTTGGATAAATGCTACACCACTTTACATATTATTGAGGATTTTTGTATGGCCCCTTTCTAAGGTAAAATGCAAGATATAATGTTAATTACCAATGTGCTAAAAATGCAGGCCCTTAAAAATGTATTCCATTTAACCCTTTCCCTGTCACCGCCGTAAGGCATACGGCGGAACAACACTGTTCACAATACGCCAGGTCAGTATGCCTTATGGCGATGGCATTTACAGTTCTGCTATAACAGCATGGTTGCTTCAGCGACCATGCACTTATAGCAGAACTGTACCCTGGACGGTCCCCTTTAAATTAATAGCTGTCATCAGCGGCCGATTAACAAAAATAAATACATAAAAAAATATTAACTAATGAAAAACCAAACAAAAACAAAACCCACCTCTCCCCCCACACACATAACATACATGTGCACCACATTATGGTGACGCCATGCGCTACAGTGCGTTGTTAGAACGCATCGAAGTGCATGATTTTTTACATATTTCTTTTTTCTTATTTAAAAAAAAACACATTAATTTAACTGCGGCAACGCATGGCAAAGCACTGTGACGCATTGCCGTGCATTGTAATACCTTGTGTTGCAATTAAATATACGCCTGTATCATTTTATCACAACACAAGCACCAACACAGCGCAAAAACTTTTAACATAAGTCGATTATTTACAGTTTTGCGTCCCTTCATTTTAAAAAAAATTTTTTTTTTTACCTTTTCGCAAAAAGGCGCAATTTCAAATTTGCAAATATTTGTTATTTAGTAACTCAATACAGTTTTACTTTTTAGATTTAGTCAGATTTGTTTTATTTTTGTGCACTGATGCTGATTCTAGCGCTTTATCAATTGACTTGTGTATTTCTATCGGTTTAATGTTAATTTGAGAAACATTTGGGCAATTATCACAGGGCCTACAAATTTAGTATCACCATCTTTTTATTCTACCAGGCCTGCGCTTGCAGAGAATATATGGTTTGGGGGGTCTTTTACAAACGCTAGCAACGCAGCAGTAGAAAATCAAATCAATTGGAAAAATTGCAAAAATGGTTTGGCCAGCTGAGGTGCAAAATGTTCCGGAGTGCTCGGCAGCAAAAGGGTTAATTGATCCTCAGTATTCTATTTCAGTTTGACATGCCTGGATTAGGAAATTCTGTAATAAACAAACTAGCAGAGCTGCTAGCAGGCACTATTACGGCTCTGTAATAATATTTATTTTTTTCTTTCTAGAGAAGTTGTATGCAGTTTGTAGTATAAGACTTCTTGCAGCATTCTACTGTTATAAGGAAATGAGAACGTGTTGCTTATCTCCATTATGGGTAGAGTGAGTGTAAGATTTTAGTTTCTAACCAGCTTGCTGTTGTGTTTCAGCACTCAGCGAGGACTTTATGTTTGATGCTGTTTCAGGTGAGCGGCCTTTCCACTGTAACCAGTGTGGTGCCTCATTTACCCAGAAGGGGAACCTCTTGCGGCACATTAAGCTGCACTCGGGTGAGAAGCCTTTCAAGTGCCCATTCTGTAACTACGCTTGCCGACGGAGAGATGCTTTAACAGGGCACCTGCGCACCCACGCTGGTGAGTGTGTCTGACATAAATGTTCACTGACTTTTCTTCCTTTACTTTTTTTTTTTTCCACTCTCCACAATTGCTTTGTCGGTGTTCACTGGTATTTCACAGCGCTGGCTTATTACATGGAGCGCATACATGGTTACTTCTCAGCATGTAATGCATTTATTGCTTAAGGATGTGTGGCAAAACATTAGGTGGGAAGCATATTCTGGCAGAAGACTTGCGTTTATATATGACAAATTACACAGACATATTCTTCTGTTCTTTTTTTGTAGGTATGCATGCTGAATGGTATCTAGGTTAAGGCATGTTTATTAACAACAAGTTTCATTTTATTTCTTCTGTGTTTACATGTAATATACCCATGGAGATGTATGTCTGATGCTACATGATCAGTCATAGGTGTTGTAAGTGATAAAATACCCAATTTCTAAATGAGGTGAGCTTCATAGTCAACTCTATCTTTGACTGCATCAATCACAAAGACCCAATTGGTCTATTTACCAAGACTCGCACCTCCCACAATTTTGTTTTTCAGTTTGAGTTTTTTCTTCACATTCTGAGATGATCAAATACTAGTTGGTATTTTCTCCTTCGTCTCTCTTATGTGTTCTTGTAACACAGACTAAGCCAATTTAGTAAGCTTTCTTCAACGTCAAGCCTACTTGGTTCTGATGTTCTAGGTGGATTGCTAGTGTGTTTGAGACATGCTGGCTCTGCACACTACCCAGACTTACTGCACACCAGACAAGGGATTCTGCATTCATGTGCCACATTCTTTGTAATGTAAAAACAATAAATATGGTGCTTGGAGGTAAGTGAAGGTTAGAACAATAATGGTCAAATTTTGTTTGCATCATTTTGTTTGGGATTTTGGTTGTAGACATTCTCTCTGAATAATTAGTATGAGCTGTCATGTTTTCATCCTGTTAGGCACAGAGTTCATGAGAGAGTTCTATTTCCCTGGTGTATTGTGATCCCCATATCTATGTGAAGTTTATAGGACACATATCTCTGTTTTATGGGCAGGCTCTGTTTTTCATTTTTTCCAGTCTCCTCCCCCACAGTCGGCAAGCCCTACAAGTGCAACTACTGCGGCCGCAGCTATAAACAGCAGAACACACTGGAAGAACACAAGGAACGCTGCCATAACTACTTGCAGAGCCTCAACAATGAAGGCCAGCACCTCTCCTCGCATGCAGGTGAATGAAACCTTCTGTAGATGAAGACTGACTGATGCCTTTATAATTCCACTTCTTTTATAGTAAAAGTATTTTAAGAAAATGTAAGGTTTTTGTGTGAGCTTTACATATTTGTTGCAAAGTTTTATTTTAAAGCTCCCCATACAGGGCTGATTACCAGCGGACAGGTTATGTTAGACATTCTCTGGCTATAATTGTTTGTGTGTGACCACTACCTACTTTCATGACCAGAAGGTATTAAACTAGGGCTAGAAGATACAATCATACAAAGGTTACTAGGCATATCTTTTTTTCATCTCCACCATTGTCATCTGCATGACTTGGGCATTATATAATGTTGAAAGGCTATTGGGAAAACGTATAAAAGAGCATCTTATTTCCATAAGACATTTCGCTGAGAAGATTGCCTCTCATGTTATTAAGCATGAGGGGCCATAGAAGCATAGTATGTTTTTTTTTTTTTGTGTGGATGTAACAGACCATCACATTGTTCTTAGTACATTCAATAGGAATGTGTGTATAAATGCCCACTCGAGTAATTCTCCTGATGATCACTATTTTATTGAACGGATACTGCAGAAGTGATGCAGCATACTGAAAATGGTAACCAATTGTAAGAGCTGTTGTCATATGCAAGCTCTTGCGATCATAGATGTTAACCCACAAACATCCTGATTATTGCTAGAGATGCTAGGATCGCTTACAATATTATAGAACATAATCTGGCTGGTGACTATACCCAACTGTGATTTTACAGGTATGTGGCATTTGCTTTACACCAGTGGTTCTCAACCTGTGTAACCTCAGGACCCACATTTGTCCTTGGTCATTAAGTCGTAAACCGCAGGTGATCTAACTGTGGGTGGGAGGTTCATTTGGAGTGTCATTCATATTAATGACAACGCAATGCACCTTCCACACCAGAACACGCAGTAGATGCAATTGCGTGTTACAGTGCATTAATCACATGAGACTGTGTGATGAACACGCTGTGCTAGCGTGAACGGACCCTCAAAAGCACTGACAGTCACACACAACCACAGACACAATCTCACACACTCAGACATTCACACACACACACACACACACACACTCCAAAAAACATATAATCTTTTTCTTTTTTTTTCGTTCAAAAAGTTTTGTTTTGTCATTTTGTTATCCCGTTATGTGGACTCAGATAAACAAGTTTTATCATGACCACCGCAAGTGGCAATTACAGTGTATAACACATACATCGTATATGAAGATGTAAGATCACTCAAATTCAAAATGATAAAAGTATAAAACATAACATCAGTTCAGACGAAGTCCAATACAGGTATGAGTTTCCAACAGTGGAGGGAATAACCAGTTAGTACGGACTTCAAGACAAGGACTCAGAGGAGTAGCCTGAGCTAATCGGTTCCAGGGGGGGGCATCTTTTTCTTTTAAGATCCATCCAGTCTCCTTCCATGAGAACTGGAATGGATCCTCAGCCTGGTGTCCAGTGTGGGCTGCTGTGCTGTGACAAAGCTCCATCCATATGTGCATTGTTTGTACAGCTCCCTTGCACTCCCTGTAGAGGTGTCGGGAGCCAGAATGTGACATCAATCCAGGCACCTCTACAGGCACATGTGGGAGCTGTAAGCAATGCACATATGGATGGAGCTCCCTTATGAACATACTTCCAGCCCACCCCCCACCTCAAGCTGACACACAGGGCCATATTTTGAATGGCTGCTCGGCACAAGAACAGATGATGTTGCGCTGGGGGGAGGCTGAGGAGTCTCACACCTAGAAGGACGGCATGTCGCGACCCACTGAACATGGGGTCGCGACCCACTTTTGGGTCACGACCCACCAGTTGAGAACCAAGGCTTTACACCTATTAGCATGCAGCTCCAGTGGCTTAGTGAGCATACTAAATCATGTTGGTATGCAGACTTTCACAATATGGCTGTTGGAGTCCACAGTGGTGGACATTTAATTTATAAATTATGACTGGTGTAAAAAAATGTCTATTTGCATCAGCCATTCTTTAGAAGTCTGCCTTCTAAAGGAATTCATGTAGGCTTGGGAAATAAAGCAGGTGAAGAAGACCCCCCCAAGCACTGCTCTTAGCGACCTGACACCACAAGAGCCCATAAAGGGAATATCGAAAATGCAATTGAAAATCACAACACAAACTTCCAACTTCCATCATGGTGAGTTGTATTGTAAAACGGTTAAGAACTCTAGCCTAGGGAGTACTTCTGAAAGGGTGAATGGTATAACCGCTTGATGAATCATATTCTTACTATCAGTTTAAGATCTTAGAAGGTGAACATATTTAACACCAAACGAAACCAGTGGACATTTATATTGATGTATTTTAACACGAGGCAGGATTTCGACTTGGATATACAGTAAGTACACATGTCAAGAAATGATGGGGAAAAAAATCATTTCAGAATAGGGGAAAGGACGTCAACACTGGTCTACTTTTTATAGTTAATGAAAAGGTTTGCACCTTTTAATTGGGTTAGAGCAGTCTAAACACTGATGAAAAAGATGATCATGTAGTGCTCCTGGGACTTTGTGCAGGCTCATTTTGACAATACCAGAGCTTTAGGGGTCAGAACTCTAATTTAACCCTCCAAAATACAGGCATGGATAATGGTAATTGTATAACTGTAGGTAATTGTAAGGAAACATTTGTTTATTTTATAAATGATAGTCATATGGTATCACCTTTTTTGTTTTCAGATATTTTGCATTCACAGGGTATGATCTTTCAAATAACATTTTGTGCAGCTCTGAGCATATTTTGTCTCATGGAATTGGAATCTGGTATTCTGACACATAGGCCTTCTGTTATACAGTGGACCAAACTTATAGGCTTTTCTGTAGCCTCTGCTATAAGCCTGAACACATTAGTTGTGCCTTATCAAATTAAGGGGTAAAGATTCACTGATGTGTTTAGTTTGGAAAAGAAAAATGAAAATTTACTCCTTTACTGTGGCTGGACGTGCAGATATTTCCAATCTTTTTGATGCTTGAGTCCCTAATACAAGGACCTGTGTGTTAAAGGAGAACTATGAGGTGAGTGCTTTTCACTCACCTCATAGTTCTAGCCTACCTGTGACAATGAAACTGTCACAGGTCGGCTCAGTAGATCGGGAGGTGAGCGAACACATACCGGCGTTCCCTCACTTCTCGATCCTGTCACAGCTCTCTGCCGTGACAGGGGAGGGGCTGGATTCCCCCCTCCCCGATCCGCCAGCGCTGACTGGCGGATCGGACGGGGGAGGGGGCGGGTAGAGCTGGCTCTGTCTCTAGATAGGACAGAGCCAGCTGTCACTCACGCAGCTGGGCGGATCCAGACATAATTGTCGGGATCCGCTTCAGCTGCCGCGTCTCAGTAATACCGCGAGCAGCAGCTCGCGGTATACTGAGATTAGGGTGACGGGAGGACGCTAGTTTGTGTCCTCCCGTTACCCCAAGGATAACTATGGGGAAAAGCCTTAACCCCATAGTTCTCCTTTTAATACACCAGATTCCATTCAGCACTGAATTTTTAGTATTGGGTGGAACTATCTATTAATAAAGCTGGGTTTAGACACAACCTATCACATAGCACCAATTTGGCCCAATCTCTTCTCTCCTTTCCCTCAGGTGAGGAGACACGAGACCTGGATCTGGGACCAGATGCCCTGATGCATCCCTCTGACCCGCCGTCTTTTATGGACCGGCTGGCTATCGGCCTTACAAAGCGCAAGCGCTTCACACCTCAGAAATTTATGGGTAAGAGCACATGCTCCTGTGTGCTAGAGGTGGATGGTGCTTGTGATGTTGATCGTGTCTGACTCAGTGATGCCATCAGTGGCATTTTAATATACAATAGGCTAGCATACGAGAGTACACCTGTGTTCTCTGTTCCACTTGTATGGCATTATTTGAAGGGGTTTCATTCCTGTTTTAGGTCAATTCTGTTTCATTATCTTGCATGTGTTGTGTGTTCTGCATCTGACTGGGTAAAACATTTCCTTATTTGTTACCACACTAACTTTTTATATAGTAGTTATTTATTTAGTTATAGTTTATCATGGTTTTGAGTTGAACACGATGTACACAACATACAAATCTTTCATTTGATTACTTTTTAAACAAGTGAATGCATGCTACAATTTTTATCTAGTTGAAGAGCACACTGGTTAGCTTTTCTTCTGCATTTACGGTTGGGCAAGCCCCATTCATGGAGTCGCTGACAACACCTGGTCACTGTCTGATTTGGTCAACCATAGTTGTAAGCCTCACCAATACATTTGGTTTCCAATATATTTGGAAAAAAAGGTCTGTTTTGTAGACAAGTGGTAACTTGGCAATATAAATCACCTTTCAAGGGACTGTCTTATGTATTGCATTACAGACTACATTTACATAATGTTTTGCTATCTATTTTTAGGGGAGAAACAAATGCGGCTTAGCCTGGCTGATCTTCCTTATGAAATGAACTCCAGTTTTGAGAAGGATATGGAGATGGTCCCACATCATCCTCTTGACCCCACCTATGGGAATGCTTTAGCTTTTGTTGGAGGTCCTATGCGCTTACCTCCCACAAATTGCATCTCAGAGATCACTCCAGTTATTAGTTCAGTTTACACCCAGCTCCAGCCTATGTCAGGGAGGCCAGAGATGCCTGGAAATCGAGAAGCAGCAGAAGGCCATGAAGACATACCAGATGGAACCAGTCTTTACAGAGGACGGACTGAGCATGGAGCTTCTCCTTCCAATGGATGCCAGGACTCTGCAACAGACACAGAAAGCAACCATGAGGAGAGGGGCTCTCAGGCCACCAGTAGCAGGCAAAGTCCTGCCTATGCCAAAGAGGACCAGAGACCCCCTGAATCAGGAGTGATAAACCCATCACGCCCTGGGCCTGGCACAGCCAAAGAAACACTGCGAGTGCTGGGAGAGGATGGCGAGCCTGTTAAGGTATTTAAGTGTGAACACTGTCGGGTGCTCTTCCTAGATCATGTCATGTTCACTATACACATGGGTTGTCATGGCTTTAGAGACCCTTTTGAGTGCAATATATGTGGCTATCACAGCCAGGACCGGTACGAGTTCTCATCCCACATTGTGAGAGGTGAACATAAAGTTTAACGGAGGGGACAGGGGCGATTCGAAGCAACTGCCCTCACCCCCCACAAGAAAGAAAAACAACACAGAGGCTCAGTCACAACAGGTGGTCAACACGGTTTTGGCCATGTGTCCTCAAAATACAGCTCCCTTGAAATGTTTTTATCTTTTGATTTCATATTCTGAGGACTAGTGAAACGCAGAACCTGTAAGCACTTTTATTTTTGTCTGTCTTTGCATCTTATAACTTGGCACTACTGTAATTTTATTTTTTTCCCCATAAAGGAAAGCATATGTGATCACATTGAGATTAATATGCTGACCACGTGGTAGGTATTTGTGGTTTAAAACATTAAATGTGTAGATTAAAACTACACATTTAATGTGTAGTTTTAGGAAATGTTAAATGTTGGTGCAAACGGTAGCAAGGCGCAGTATCGGAATATTTGATTGATCAGTTTGTCCAGCATAAAAAAATACAAATATGTTTGTCACAGCTAGCAGAGCAGTTTGTGTGGCAAGTTACTAATTCTGTCTTTGCCAAAAAACATCCTGTTCCACCATTCTTTTAGCTAGGCAGCATAACCAGGTTAGTAATCTTGTTTTTCTCCACTGCAGTTAAAGCATACAACTTGATCATCGACCCACTCCCAGCCTCTTAGGTAGACAATTACCCACTGGTGATGTCAACACTGCTCATTGTACTTTATGCCTCTGTCAGCAAGCTACCAGTATTAGACTGTACAAAGCAGAAGGGCCTGATTGGTTGGTTGTCCCTCACCATCTCCCTGGCAAGGGATTACCAGAAGCTAATAAAAAAGATAAAATTGGGTATTTATGCTAGCTGTGTTTTTAAGAATGTATTAAATGATTTTTAATGAAGGCTCAATTGAAAAAATGGCGCTTTTTTTTTTTTAATATATGCCAGGAATAAAGATTTTTAAGGTTTTATAAGATTTTAAGGGGCATAGTAGAAAATTTTCATATGGCCTTCTAAATGACTGACACATCAGAAATAATCTGAGTTTTATCATCAGAATCCACTATCTGCTGTTAGCTTGGTTTACATATCTGTAAAGGTTAGTTTATGCACTTATAGCGCCTTGCTACCCTTTGAGTTGCATTTGTACTTTAACAAGAGACCAATGTTTCGCTGTTTGGCTCTGCCACCATTATGTCACTTGTCAAGGAGACGGGTACAGCCTGACAAAAATATAAAAACTGAAATGGAAGGGGTCATTTTTCTAGTGCTAAATTGAAATTAGAAGCAACCATCTTGCTGTAGGCTTTACTTCCACTTTTTCCATCAGGTTTTATACTTCAGCGTATTCTACTTTTTTGGGGTTAGCCAACATTTGGCCCACTAAATGCAACCCAGATACTGTACATCTCTTGCTAGCCATTTAGATGGTTGGAGATATATTTCTGTAGATATGATTGCCTTTCTCTGCTCAAGTTGTTTACTTTCTATGTTATGGTCTCCTAATTTCAGAGTCCAGTGGCCTCCTGACTGCCGGTAAGAACTAGTGTTCCTGCACTATTGTCAGACTAGCTCTGGATAGTCGGATAGTCACTGAACAAGAGTAGCACCTTAAAAAGACTGTTTTGTAGTTGTGAATGATAGAATTTGCCCTCAAGCCTCAATATGGAATAGAATCCTTCTTTCCATTCTGATGTGTTTATTACTCTTTGCACTGACCGACAAACTATTTGAAAATGGTTCCTAACTAAATCATAAATGGAAATATGCTACCAAATGTAAATTGTTTCACCCTATTTTACTGAATAATACCTTTTATTAGTCTAGTTGTTTACTTTCCCAGGTATATTTATGTCTCCTTTTTGTTAAGCCTTCTTGAAAGGTGAGCGTTTGTCCACGGGCATCCCTATTTTCATATAGGGCCTTATATGTTGTCATAGTCTTACATATAACTAGATTTATTTATTTTTCTGAGTCATCAACTTGCCTGAAACCTGGTCTAAACGTTTAAATCTTGATGGGTGGCTGTGGGGAAAAAATACCTGTTCTTAGATAATGTTGAGAGATGAGCCCCAAAGAGGTGAGGTGTACCCAACCTTTTGCACATAATAAAACAGCATTATTTTGTAAAGTAATGAGTAGTATACCAGAGTGCAGTATCCTACAGCAACCTATTCAAATGTATCTTTAACTGACTGGCCTTCAGTAAAGTGAAATCTGGTTGCTATGGGTTAGTGCATTGTGTGTATTGCAGCTGTTTTTTGCACTGCTGTACTGGATCAGACCAATCTTGTATTTCAGAGATGTACATTGATTGGCGGACTGTATTTGCTAGCTAAAACTTCTTTTTTTTTAAAATAATGCTCTTTTGTTTCTGTATATCATTTTGTGCTGTCTATGAGTATATACACTTCTTTCATTTTTGTGAAAGAGTCCCAAATACACCTAACATTTCTGAATAATGTCTGCCATGGCTAACATACTGATGACATTCTAGTAATAGTTATTGGCTCACACCCTCATCACAATGATTCCTGCTCCCCTTTTCTGCAAGTTGTGGTTGGGATTTAATATGGGTGTGGTTTCAAGCGGCATCACCAATTGAAAAATGACATACACAAGGGTTGTTTTTATACATCTCACTGTTCAATCTGCCGCTGCATAACAGGCACTGTAGGGTGTGTGCTGGTACCTCTTCTGTCCTCTGTTGTCTGGAATCTGCCACTGGAACCCTCAAAATCCCCATTACTTTCCAAGAAAGAAAAAACATCCAAAGGGGGAATCCGCTTCTCTACCCCAATGTGTTGGCCTGATGATTTACCCCAATCACTTTGTTGTGGGAGACAGAAAGGCTGTACTATGGTCTACATAACTAGAAGTAATGGATTCCAGCAGAGGAGGTAGCGGTAAGAGTGGGCTTTCTTCTTCCTTTTTTTTTTTTAACTTTTACTCCCTACGGGGAATCTAGTTCAAAGCAGTCATGCCAAAGGTACATAGAAGTGCTGACTAGGTTGGGGATTTGGAGGCACATGTAGTTTTTAGCTCCCTTCTGGTCACTAACACGACCTCTTAGTGAGGCTCCAGTCACAGACTCCAGATGGAGACGTGCACCTAGCTCCCATATAAAAACATTAGTGGCACCTTTTTGACCCTAATGAGGCAGCAAAAAGCAAAGCAGATGTAATGAGACGGGCAGCAGCATCAGTGAGGTTAAAGTATATTTTTATCTTATGACACACCGGATACAATTTTTTTTTGTCCTTAAATTTTGTGTGTTTAGCCCCAAAATATTCAATTCTCTGTTCTAATAGGAGAAGCTTTTGTGTCTACAACCCTTTAGTAGTCAAACTCTAGAGAGTATCTAACCACAAATTAAATTGTTGCATAAAATGCCTGAGATTTTGCTTCTATCTTAATGCAGACTTCTGAGAAAAGGCTAATCGCACAAGCCGGAAATGTTATTTCTAGGGGCATTCTGTACATTACCGATGTACAGAACACCTCTAGGTTGCCATGTTTTGGACAGTTTTAGAAAATTAGATAGGCTGCAGATTAAAATGGGAAAAATAATTTTAATAACAATTACAAAATGGCTTGTGTAGACATTTCACATGAGATATAATAATGTTTCATCCTAAGTGGAGTTTTTTGCTTTTAAAGTGAGGTTTTGTGTACATTTGTGGCAGGTCATATGAATTGGTGTGCCAAAATTATGAAATGCCTGTATCATGAACAAACATTACAAAAGGGGTATGCGATACTTTCATGTATTTCTCATTTACCTTTTGCGTTTGAACATATTTTCATCTAGCTATAGTCATTTATTTCTAATTTTCTGATTTATTAATTGTTTATTGGTTTCTTGTATTATCCTATTAGTGTTTGGGTACTTCACAACAAACATTTTGCATTAAAGTATTTTTTTATTTTACAATTTGTAGGTGACAGTTTTGGAGAGTTCACTGATTATGTCCTTTTACACTGTATAATATTTTAAGTCAGCACTTTTT